ACCAACCGGGTCCCCCCGCCCCGCCCCCAGCCCCCAGCCTAGAGAAGAAAGGTTCTATGATCCCCACAGTGCTGAGGCTCTATCAGGCTCATTGGCGCTCCTGGCCTCATTTCCTATCATGCCACCCAAGTTCAGTCACTGGGAACCCCCACTGTCAGCATTCACCTCTCTGGTTGGAAGATGGGTGAGGGCTTTAACACAGAGGTGCCAGCGCTGAGACTGCTCCTTCTGGTTGGCCTGTCCCGGAACAGACTTTGTATACAGTGAACAGGCTGGAAACTATCCCGTACTGACTGCACCCAGGCCCACCGCCCGGGGATGGCCCCGCAGCCATGCCTCTCCCCAGAAACGAGAATTCCGCGCCTCCACCTGCATCTACACCTGCACCACCCAGGTGACCACCTGCCGCAGCGTGGGGTAGGACACCTCGTCCCCTATGGGCCGGGTATTCCCGCACCTCCTGCCCTCCCGGCAGACGGTTCACCCCCTGGGCCCCACCTTCGGCCGCTCTCTGTCCACAGGTAGCAGGGCCAGCCGTGGGATCAAGCTAGGAGGAAGGAGGGTCATGCTCCACCCTCGCACTCTCCCCTGCATCCTACCTAGACGTGCAGCCAAGGCTAGTCCCGTGGAGCTGACACCGTCTGCCTCGCTCCAGATGCCTGAGCGAGGAGTCTGTGGTGACACGGTAAAGCTCTGGTGTGTGCAGCCAGGAGCATCGCAGAGATGGGGCTCTAGCTCCGTTCCCCGATGGACTGCACAGGAGCACGTGCTGCAGCGCCAGCGATGTCCAGCGGGGCGCACGCCCGGAGGCCTCTGCACATGCGCAGATCAGATTCCTCAGACCGGCCAATCGGCAGCCCCGAAGTCTGCACGCCGGCCCTCCCCTCTTCTACCCTAAGGACTTTCACTGGCGTTTGCCCAGAGCCGTTATCCTGCTGTCGCTCTCCCGGAAGGTGGTGTGAAGCGCATTGCGCAGGCGTGCTACGGAAGCCCCGCCCCCTCGCGGGTGCCGTCCAATCCCAGCGGAGGTGCCAACCAGACGCCCACGAGCTGAGAGGAAATGGCTGGGCTGCCGGGGCCTTCGAGGTCTGAGTCCTCGGGGACCGGGACGACGGACCAGGCTGGGAAGGCCGAAGGTAGTGCGGGGGGTGCGGGCCTCCGCCGGGACGGGCGGGAGCGCAGGTGGCTTTCCCTCCGTATCCGCAGGCCGGGCCGCCGCGGCCTAGCATCTGCGGGAAAAGCTTATTATCTGCGCGGGGTGCACAGAGGGCGTCTGGCCGGTGGCTGCGGGGAAGGGGTTTGGATTCTGAAGGGAACACACAAGTGAGGCACATTTTTAATCTTATTGTTTGATTTTCTGCGGGGACGGTGTAGGTACTCCTTGGGCACATTTCTTAACCGTCGTTCGAGGGTCCGATGTTAATGTCGGGCACGAGGGGTCCCTGCAGGGCGAGTGCCCTTGACCTCCGACGACCCCGCAAGGTGTGCTGGGTAACGAAGCGGGGTGTCTGCAGCTCAGCCGCACACCTGGGGCGCCCGGGAAAGGGCGTGCAGGGGCTGTGGCTTCTGTTTCTACCACTTTTAAGTAAATGTGGAATTGTTTTAAAATAGAAGGTCAAAAATAGGGGACTCATACTACACAGGCTGTTTTGTGAGATAGTCGTTGGCTCATTGGACAGCGATTTGCTCCTGCCCCATTCCGCCCTTCCTAGGACCAGCGCCGGAGAATAGAAACAGTACGGACAAGGCCCGAAAGAACGATGGCTCGGCCTGCGGACTCAAGGTCCCGGTTCGATTCTGGTCAGGGCACATGCTTGGGTTGCGGCCCGACCCCCAGTAGGGGGCGTGCAGGAGGCAGCTGATCCATGATTCTCTCCCATCGTTGATGTTTCTATCTCTCTCTCCCTCTCCCTTCCTCTCTGAAATCAATAAAAATATATATTTTTTAAAAAGTCATTTTGGGGTTACGGGGAAATTTATTAACTTAATATAACTATACGCAGAAATTCATTAACTTAATATAACTATACGCAGAAGTGTATGTGAACAGTAAACACTCTTTCCCGTCCTTCCAGCCAGAGGTTATGTGGGCGCGGTGGACGCAGTAGACGCGTATTTGGGGACTGACGGCTGCGCAGAGCCCTGTCGTGGGGATGAAGCCTAAGTTCTCCATGGGTTTCCCGCTTTGACATCAACAGACACTGCTTCAGTGTCATCTCGCGTGCCCTTTTGAATAGTTATCTGAGTATGTCTGATGGGTAAATTCCTATAAGTGGGATTGTCTTCAACATGTTGCTGCAGCCACACGGTTGCCAGAGGTCGCGTTGGTCTCCAGTCTGTCCGTGGGTGTAAGGGCCCCTGGCCCACATCAGCCCAAACGCACGCGCTGTCACACTTCCTCATCTTCACCCACCTCCAGGGCACAAGGCGTGGTTTTCATCTCTTTCGTTATGATTTGAGGGTGTGCCTCTTTCCAAATATTTCTTGGCCATTTGTGTAATTTTTGGTTAACCATTCTTTTCGCCACTCTCATGCAGAAATGGTTGTTTAGCTTCTCTATATTGATTGATTAGTTGGTTGGTTGACTTTCAAAATTTTTATTATGAAAAAACTTAAACATATACAGAGGTTGAGAACAAAGTATAATTACCCTACGAGCCCGTTTTTCAGCTTTAACGATGATCAGCTCTGGGCAGTCTGGTTTGCTCTTTTCTCCTCACCCCTCCACTGTTTCATTTCACAGCATTCCAGGCATCAAAGCACGTAACCCATAGATACGGCCTCGTACATCTCTAAACATTCTCTAAAGGATAAGTACTTTTTTCAGAAAGCTCACCACAATGCCATTGTGATCTCTGAAATTGTAAGAGATACAATAATTCTTTTGTTTCATCAACTTATCTGGTCAATTTTCAAATTTCCCTGATTGTGTCATCAATATTTTTTTAAAGTGCATTTGTTTGAATCAAGATCTAAATGCAGTTTGTTTACTGAAATTGGTTAACATGTCTCTTTAATCCCTTTTAGTCTGTAAGGGTCTTCCTTTCTCCCTTTTCCCCAAAATTTATTTGTTAAAGAAGCTGGGTTGCTTTTCCTGTGGAGCTACCCAATCAGAATGTTGCTCATTTCATACTCATGAGCCATTTAACATGTTCCCCTGTCCCTGTGTTTCCTCTGACTTGATATTTAAATTGAGAGGCTTAGTAAGTATGTGTCATTTTTGGTCAAGAATCCTACCTTGTATTTTTACCTAAGTGTCTCATGATGTCCGGTTATCTTTATTGTATGTTAATGCCATTAGTAATAATTACCTAGATCTACTACTTTATTAGGGAGTGAAAAACACAAGTGCCTATATTGGTTATAACAAGTCAACATGAAATACTTTACTGGGAGGTTCAGAATAACAATTGATTGTATACAGGGAAGCTCTTTATATTTACATTTGCTTAAATGAGACATCTTATTAAGTGTTCTTCCTATCCCTTGTGGGGTTTTAAAAATGAGATCTCTAGCACTTTCTAGTTGATTATGGTGTCTGCCAGTTGCAGGGATTTCTGACCCCTTGTTTCAGTTTCTTATATCCCTCCTTTCTTTCCTTTCACTATTACATCACGAGCGTGGACCCAGCCTTGAACAGGAGCAGCAGTGAGAGTGCATCCCTTCCTGCACCCTGAGTTTTAGTAAAGGGAGATCTGCGGTGTCATTTACCTGTTAGTGAAAGCTGCTCACGAAGGGGCTCAATTTATCTCTCGTGCAGTGTCCGCCTCAAGACAAGGAGCCGGGGCACCTCTCTGACTGGAGGTCTGCCCTCAGCCCATCTCAGTCCCAGCCAAGGTTGTCGGATCCTTCCTCAAGCCTCTCCTACAGGATCTGAAATGTTCTGTTTTGTCTCCACAGGGCAGGCCAAGTCCTCACAGAAAATTGAAAACTTGATGGAGATGGTGAAGAAGTTGCAGAAAGGTCATATGTCTCCGTTATAACTGAGGCTCAAACAGAAATGGATTCAACTACAGGCCCCACAGTTCACAACCTTTGGAAATCAATTCATTCACTCTTACTTCTAAAACTTAATTCTTGAAAATAAAAGTATAGCCCTATGATCCAAAATTAAAGTATAAGGGAATAGCAGGCAAAACATTTTCCCAAAACCCAGTTGCAACCCCCTCGCTGACTACCCACCCACTTGACTCACTGCATGAAAGGGATTAAAGTTAGACCCAGGTTTTCACCTTCACCTCCCTTCCCTCCACCTCACCTCTGCTCCTCTCTGCTTGCTCACCAGGCTCCTCCCAGCCATGTTGCCATCTCAGGGCAGACCTCTGCACTGACGGCCTCCCATTCCCACCCCAGGAGTGCAGGGCCTGCCCCCTCACTTGATTTGGGGCCTTGAAGAGGCCTTCCCATATCTGAAGAAGCATGTCCCACTCTTTCAGTCTTTGATCCCTAGCCCCTCTATTTCTCTTGACTGCAGTTACCACAGCCTGAGTCAGTATCTTGGTTTATCTCTTCCTCGTCTCCCCTACCTTGAATGTGAGCCCCTGGAGGGTCCCCATGTGCCTCTGCCTGCCCTGTCATCTTTACTCAAACTCCTTTCCTCCCTGCAGCGGGAAGCCTAGAGCCCAGGGTTGAGGTCCTGATTAACCGGATTAATGAGGTCCAACAAGGTGAGCTCAGGAATTTTAGCTTGTCAGCCAGGAGGGCCCGGTGCAAAATGAAAACGCAGGACCCCTTGTTCAGAAATTACTAAGTATTTCACAACAGCAACTGCAGAGCATTAAACCAAGCACGAGTCCATCCAAATGCAGCTGTTCTAGTCCTGGGTCCATTATCCTGGCCCTGCTGCAGACAGAGCCCAACAAAAAGGTCTCTGGAAGCCTCATTTTTCTGCTCAATAAAATCTGGGCCCCTCTGGGTTTGCTTGAAGACAAATGTGAAATGTCACTGTTTGCAAGGAATGGTGTAGCTGGAGGCTGCCCTGACAATGTCTGTCCTGCTCTTTGGCACAGCGAAAAAGAAAGCCAGTGAGGAGCTGGGAGAGGCCCGGACTGTCTGGGAGACCCTGCAGAAGGAACTGGACTCACGTAAGTGTGCCAGGGTTCAGTCAGAGGTCCCCAATGTCATGCCTCCCTGAACCCAGTATTCCAGGCACTGAGCATGTGTACTGTGGCCAAGGGCCCCTGCCCGCTCTCCAGCCTCAGGTCCTAGCCTACCAAACTCCCCCTTGCCTACTGTGGGTAGGAGTATCCCTCAAACACCCTCCAAGCAGACTTCCACCTCACGGCCTTTGCTAGGCTGTTCCCCCCAGATAATATCGGTTCCCATTGCTTCACATCATCATTCAGCTCTAGCTCAGATTTCCATTCTCAAAGAGACCCTCCCCAATCATCCCGTCCAAAGACGGCACCACCTGATTACATGCCCTTCCTGCTTGACGTGTTTCCTCACAGTCTTGGCCCATTTCAGATGATGTGTTTTCTCTTCCCTCCATATAAACACACCTGCATTCCACAGGGTCCTCCAGTCAGTCACCCTGTGTCACATCAGAGCATTTGGTGCTCACAGGGAGAGTGGGCACAAGAGGGGAGGGGGTTTGCCTTGAGGGGTCCACATTTGCTTTTCGGAGGAGTGCTGTACCAAACTGCCTGTGTCCCTGAGGGTACAGGGGGTGGTCCTTGATACCGGAATGTGCCCTGATACCTGAACCTGTTACTGTGTTTTCCAGTGAGTGGAGAGAAAGTGCGCCTGAAAGAGATCTTGAGTAAAAAACAAGGTAACGACAGCTACACTGCCCCAGGCTTCTGCCTTTGCGCCCTGCGGAAGCTCGCTCCCTGCGGGGCACCTGAGCCTTTGAATGAGCTGGCATCCCTCCTGTGGCTTCCACCCAATTTGTAGCAAATGACAGAGTCCCACCACGTGTCCACGAGACTCCACATGATGTAACGCTGTTACCTCTCCACAAACCTGATGCCTTGATGGTTCCTTTCCCTGCAGAGACCCTGAGGATCCTCCGGCTCCATTGCCAGGAAAAGGAAAGTGAGGCACAGAGGTAAGCGCTCTACCTGGACCTCACTCTGTCCTGCCCTTCATTCTGGTAAAGAAAGTGAGGGGAATGTCACGGATCACAGCTCTCCTGTCAAATGGAAAGGCCCAGCGCTCGCAATAGGCAGGCATGTGTGGGTGTTCTCACTCATTGGGGATAATCATTTTTTTTTGCTAGAATACCAATTCATTTCTTCTGGCTGGTTTTTCTTCTAAGCCTTTTACTCTTTCCACTGGCTCCATGGCTGTCTGTTCACTCACCTGCCTATCTGTCCCTTCAACCGTCTGTCCACTCAGCCTCTCATCAATCATCCATTATTCTTCATCCACCTGACTATTTGTGTATCCGTCTCTCCACCTCCTGAACACTTACTCAGCTCATTTTGTGACCAGAGGCACCAAGTCCTGGCATCCTCAGATTGGGAAATTCAGATGAGATGAATGTGTGTGTGCTTCTGCACTTGGCCATGTCCCTGTTGATCTCCCTAATCCTCACTAAGATATTTCCAGGGGGCATGTGCTCCTGCCCCCCCCCCCCCCCCCCCCCCACACACACACACAAGTTATAAAGAAGGACTCCACCTAGAGGCCTAGGACAGACCGCAGGAAAAGGAAGCAGAAGCCCCGCTTCAGCCCTTTCCTGGGGAGACATTCGGAGAACATGATGGAGGGCTGTCTTGCCTCTTTCCAGGAAGCAAGCCCTGCTAGAGGAGTGCAAGGAGCGAATCTGTGCCCTCAACTTCCAGATTGAGGAAGAGAAGAGCAAACAGAGGCAGTTGAGGTAAAGCCCAGTGCCTGAGGCCTTCGGGGGCTGGAATGGGTTATAGATGGGGGTGATATCAGGGATGGGGGTTAAAAGAGGAACTGGCCAAGCTAAGGCCCAGAGGGTCAAGGTGGTGAAGTTTCCCCAGAAGAGCAAAGAGTATGGGCAAGCCCCCCTCCCCAGGACTGTACATGGAGACCCTTGGCCTGGGCCAGGATGTGGGGCGTCTCAACCCAGGACCCCTCATCCAATTGTGGTTGGCCCCCAGATTGGATTTCGAGGAACAGTTGGAGGAACTGATGAGCCAGCACAAGGACCTCTGGGAATTCCACGTGAGTCACTCAAAGCCATTCCTCCCATTTCCCCCATCTTCCTTGGCAGAACCAGGCCCCAAATTCAGTCACCCTCCGGGCTTCATTCCTCTCACCCGCCACACCCAGTGCCTGAGCAAGCTGTGACGGCCATACCTCAAAATCCCCTCCCGTCAGACCCTCATCACCACCCTCACTGCTACCCAGTTTCATCCTCTTCGCTGGTCCTGCCCACCCATCCCTGCTGCCTTCTCAGGGCCCTTCAGTGGTCAGGAGGAATCCTGATGAACTAAGGAGGGGTCATCCATCAAGGAGACCCATAGATATATTTGGGGACATCACAAGTAGGGGGTGGGGGTCAGTGTTTGCTACCAAGGGATCCCAACCTCCAAACCAGAAACTAGGCAGAGAGAATGAATGTCAGGATGGAAGGGCTCAATGAGGGGGCCACGCAGAGGAATGAGGAAGAGCAACAGGGCTGGCTGGTCCCTGATTCTCCAGAGGACAACCTCCTGAGCCTCTCAGCACAGCATCGTTCCAGGCAGAGGCAGTAGCCAGTGCAGAGGCCCTGGGGCTGGACCGTGCCTGGCATGTCTGCAGGGCCAGGGTGGTAGGAAGTGAGTCATGCTGAGTGAAGACTAGATGCAAGTCGGCTTCTCGGAGGCGAATGGGGGGAAGTGGGAGATAAGCATGGGCCTTTCTACCCCCTCAGAGTCCAGAGCAGCTGGCCCAGGAGATTGGCGCCCTGGACAGCAGCAATGAGCAATTGCTCAAGGAAGGTGAGAATGGGGGGGCCCTGCTCTGCCCTGCCCTGCTCTGCCCTGGCCTGCCCATCTGTCCCTCCTGCTGCAGAGAAGCTGGTAGAAGCAAAGCTGGAGGATGTGAAGAATCGTCTGTGCTCCCAGTTTGGTACCAAGGGCTGCTCTGCCATCACTGAGGGGCTCTTCCCACAGCACTGATGGCCCCACCCTCAGGCATCTGTTTGAGGAGGAGACCAGAAAGGCCCAGGAGCTCCTGGAGGACACTGCCCAGCGCCACGAGCAGCTGCAGGGGGAGTGCCAGCAGCTGCAGCAGAGGAGGCAGAGGTGGGCATGGAGCCCCTCTCCCTGTCTGTAAGGGGAGGCTGTTCAGGGAGTCTCCTGCCTCTGTCCCCTGCTCTCTCCCGCTCTCTTTTCCCTCTCCTCCCCTCCTCCTCCCCCTCCCCGCCTCTTATCCATCCCTTTATGTCCAGGTTGAAGGAGGAACTGGAAAAGCTCGGAGTGCAAGTCACTGCTCAAGCCCAGAGCAAACAAGAGGATGGGGCCAGCCCAGAAGAAGCTGTGAGCC